TACATGGCTCTCAAGCCATGTACCCATCTAGTAGCTGTGGTGTATGCCACACCACAGACCCCTTGGGAGAGTGACGGGTCACTCTCATGTAACCCCGTTACACATATCGTGTGCGATTGCTGCCCGACATGGCAACAAGGAGTTACTAAAATTTTTCCAAGATTGAGGAACTGTTATTGCCGGGATGGCGGCCGATCCTCTCCCCAGGGCGGTCTTAGTGACCACCTTCATGAAGGGCCTCCGCACTTGCGTGGTCCGAATGGAAGTCTTCAGTGTGCACCCGTCTTCTTTTGAAGAAGCGGTAATCGTGGCATTGTATGCAGAATTCAACTTTAAGTCGGCACGAAATGGTTGGAATGCACGTCCTCAGAGATCGTCGAGCAGGCCTGAGCCAATGGATCTCAGCTTTGCTGAAAAAGAAGAGGGAGAGCTTCGAGCTGCCGAGCAGCGTGTGAAAACCCGACAGTGTTCGTCTGCAGAGACACCCGTCACCTACGAACTTATTATCCCCTGCGCAAGGCGCGTAAAAGCTCATCGAACCAACGTCTCGCTTTTACCAGTCACAGGAAACTAAAAAACTCAGTAGGTGCGGGGTGATCTGTATGCTGTGGCGCTGGAAGCGCGGTCGAGTGACACCATCACTGTTCGCTATGCGACGGGGACCTGAGTCATTGTGCGGAGGGTTCCCGTGGACCTCGGTGTCATGTTTCTTGACTTGGTAGCGTGGAATGCTGCTTAGACTTAGACTTGGATGCAAGGTATAACCTTATCCTTGGTATGGCATGGTTCGTACACCATGGGCCATGGATTCGTTCGATGTCAAAGACCTTGGGCGCTACGCCAATGTCTCCTGGTGAAGCTTTGGTGAGTCATGAACGCACCTATGCTAGGAAGCAGAAGCGCTATTAACGAGGGCACCGGTCCGGTACGGTCAATGTACTGGACATCGTTAAGCCCTTCATCTTGTGATGGGGTTTGATAAACGACTCTGTGAAGGAGCTCGGCCTTTTCACCCCTCTTAGAAGATACGCAGATCGTATATATCTGGTGTTGAGATTACTGTCTTCATACTCCGCTTGGTTGAGATTCATTGCCTCTGTTGCTGTCATTAACCTCTATCTTCTGCACTTCTGCCAATCCTTGCGGACTGATATTTTCGCTCTGCTTTCAATAAAACACATATCGCTCACTTCAACGAGGTCGGGTATTCGTGGAGCACCTTTACGCGGGCCGTACCTCATGAAAGCAGTAATTGACACTGATTCCATAAAAGGCAAGCTGGTATCTCGTTTATAAATGTTCATCATTATTGGATATAAATGCAAGAGTAACATCTTGCCTTCACGAAGAGATAAGAGCTACGTCCGCACGAGGTCATTCTGATTAAGTGGTGCTAAGACTCGCGATATTCGTCGTTTGAGTTCTTCCCATGTTAAAATGCCTTATTCTTCGAGAAAGGGCACTACTGTTCGCTTCTCATGCGCAATTTTTCATCTTGACGATTGCTGGCGTGACACATGGCTGCTTAGTTTAGATCAGGGCCAGTCATGTGGTTGATGTAACTTGTATGCTCGGCAAGCGCGTTGTACAGTTCGACGAAAGCTTGAGAGTACACTCGTTGCATAAGGTATTCCGATAATGCATATAGATTACTTTTTCTCATAGATCTATTTCCTTCCGTCTCTATATTACCCACAACGTTGTGGCGAATTTGTATCGGGTCGTGCTCAGCATCTTGATCTTCGAGTGAATTTCTTAGATAGCATCAGGAAATTATCATAATAAGTTAGAGATTAATATTAAAAGGGGAGAATTTAAAAATTCATAAGATCAAACAACAAGTTGAAAAATTAATTACAAATATCACTATTTTGCCGTTACTTGGAAGTGCTAAGTTATCCAATATCTGAATTGTGGCGGTCAACTTTCTACTCATCCTATCCACAAGCCGACAGCATTCTATCTAGCATCCTTGCACTACCGCTTATGTTTCACTTCTTCCCGAGCATTCGAAGGATATTTTTACGGATCTTGCCTTGCACAAACACGGGCTGGCCGAGGCGGCGTATACGCTCGCGCGTTTTCTTGGTAGCAATATGACGCTTGTTAGCTTGAGCACGCTTAACTAGGCCATTTTTGTTAACCTTAAAGCGCTTTTTAACCGCTGCCTTTGTCTTAAGTTTGTAACCCATGGCACGAAATTGAAGTTGTGGAAAAACAATTGCCGCACGCATTGCTAATAGCGAAGGAGGGCTGGGGGCTGACAAGACGGCAGAGAAGTACGGCGGAGTGGGACGTGCAACATGCAAAGCCTTGTAATGTTGGAAAAGAGAACTATGGCGAATGGTCCATGAGAAAGTAATAATACAATAGGGGATGCAAGGAAGCGTACCGGAAGAGCGCCATTGCGGTCTCCAATGAATTTATGGATAATCACTCTCGCTTCGGATTGGACGATAAATGCTGTTTACATGATCATAAGTAATAGTTTAGAGCTTACTATTCCTCGAGTCTTTATTCCTACTTTTAAAGAGAAAATCCACTGCATCATAATCCATTCTGCCACTGCTCTATCGCTCTACCTACTATCTCCAGTATGGACGTTGGTGCCCATTGCTCCATGCCTGCATGTCATCAGCAGGATTTCTTGCCGTTCAAGTGTGACTGTTGTAGTGGCATCTTTTGCCTTGATCATCGTAGCTATGACACGCACGAGTGTTCTAAAGCAGGCAGCCGTGACCGTCGTGTTGTTCAATGTCCCGTGTGCAAACAGATGATCCATTGGACAGCTGAACAGGAAGTTAATGCTGTCTGGGAGGAGCATGTACGTGTGGGCCAGTGTACGCGTGAAAAGTTCAAGCAGCAACAGCTGAGACTGCAAAACAAGCCCAAGAAAAAACGTTGCGCCGCTGATGGCTGTCGAGAGTCGCTGCTTGTATCGAATCAATTTCATTGCAAAAAGTGTGCACACGATGTATGTTTGAAGCACAGATTTGAGCCAGATCATGACTGCGAGAGGAAGCGTAAGAACCAACGACAGCAGTGGCTAGGAGGATTGAAGACCAGCAGTACGAGTGCAGCTATTCCGAAGCAATTGTCGAATTTTCAAAAAAATGCGCAGACTGCCGCATCTTCTGTAGTTACTGGAACCAAGACAGCAGTCTCTTCAATCGTGCAAAAGGTCACTACGACCTCCGAGGAATGCCCCATGTGTCAGCAAAAGTTTGCGTATGTGAGCCAGCTGATTGCGCACGTGAATCATGCTCATCCGGAAACGTCAAATATCCGAGGGACAACTAATATTACTACACAGACAGCTGCGAGCTCTGTTCCTGATCATAGCGAAGTATGTCCTCAGTGCCACGCAATCTTTCCTACCTTGATTGCTCTTATCCAACATGCAGAGACAGCCCATACAGGAGCTGTCGTTTCAGGACGTGATGGTAGCACAGGTGGAGGGGATCGAGACAAATGTAGTGTCATGTAGATTAGAATAAACAAAAGCAATGAAGACTGTATGCTATCGAAATATTATCTGTTCGGCCAATATGAATAGTAGTCTGCCTAAAGTCACGCTTAAGGTCTAGCCACAACAATATATTAATATATTTGGAATCACTGCTTCTCTTTGCTGTGTAGTGAGTCGTTGACTGCACGTGATTGAGACTAAATAGTCATTTCATCCAGACTTGAATAGAAGAACAGCAACCTGGCCTAGGTAAAAGTATATAAAATGCTTGGTTTCATGTGTCACATATGAACCAAAGTTGCGTCCAACAATGCAGTGCCACGTTGGATTGTATTTCTTGTCGAACTCCTTCTTGATAAAAGCGGCAATATCCTTCTCAATGTTGTACTTCTCTAATGCCTGGCTGGCACAATCCACAGCATCTTGCTGCATATCTTCGTGCATGTCTGCATTCTTTATCACAGCTTTACGCTCTGTCATGATGCTATCAATTCGTTTTTGATGTCGCGACTGGTTAGCTGATCTAGAAGGCGAAAGGGTTGATGTGCCTTCTCCCCTTGCGGTTTTGCTGGAAAGACACGAAACGGATTGGAATCAAAACGAATTTGACGAGTATATGTGGTGCACTTTAGCAATCGTCCAAACAAAAAAAAATATGTGTTTAGATTACACAAAATATGGCGCAAATCGATACTCGTACTTAGCTGGCGCAGAGTTATATAAGTTCCATTCTCCTCCTCTTAAAATGCATGATGTCAAGCAATCTAATATCAATTGTATATGTTATCAAAATCGTGGTCAGATTTCAAATCACGCTACCTTGTTTCCTGGCTACCTAGTACTTTCGAGATACATTGGACAGCATTCTTCCCGATACAAGAGATACCACTTCGCAGACTGATTGTTTTTTTTTAGGGTTCTCTTTAGCTGGCTGCTTAGATTTGTGTGCTCCGACTGGCGCGGAAGACAAAGTACAAATTCGACTAGCAGCGGAATAATATGTTAACAAAATTTTCGAGAACAGTATAGATTTTTACGCTAATTTTGTAGAAAATTACACGCTTAGAAATCTGTCAATATCAATCTTTGGCATAAATTATTTGTATAAAACCAGCTTAAGCAATGTTCATTTCCTTTCTTCCTTTTTATCAGGTTGTCGTCACAAGAAGCAAACCATACATCAATTTGGTACTACAGATCTTTCATAATCTAAATTGTAATAAATTAGCAGTGATAGACTTCTCCAAGAAGGCCTATCGGTAAAATACATTAACGACATTTATTTTTTATTCGAGTTCTTTACTCAGCATTGAATGAGATCATTTTTATTTCTCACACATCAAACTCTGTAATATTTCGCTGCACCATCACGTATTTATTTGAATTAAAGAAGTTGGTCTTTGCGCTAAATGTTTTAGTTGTAGGTCATTTCAGAGGACTGAAAATCAAGAAAAACTTATCGCTTATATTAAGGAGCGCACTCAAGGTGTGTTCGAGCTTGGTAATGCTAAATCTTCTGCACTTATAATATTGTAACATTATACAAACTTTGCCTTACCTCCACGCACTGCGATTTTTCATAAATAAAAGCACTTCATTTTTTATGAAGCTTGAACATTTGCCTCAGCGTGAGAGTAAGAAATAGTATCGATCATTCTACACCAGAAACCATAAATAAGACTTTTTCCATTGGACTGTTCCATCGTAGCATGTAATCGTTAGCAAGAAATGCTGAATGCGTTTATGATTCACTGGACTGCATCTTCCACCTCTTGCCCCACTAAAGACGTCTAGCGATCTGCCGTGCTAGATGAGCTCAAAAGTTATCGCAAATCAGAATTTTGGATTATCCGTAGTAGATTCAAAGGAGATATAACAGTTTGGATGTCCTGTAATTCAACTAATCTCAATTTCTCTAGTTGTCTACTTACTTGACATCTTATTTAGAGCTGCACGCGAACTCAGAATGCTGATTGTGTAGATACCGCATACTAGTCATATAAAATCAAAATTTGACGATATTTTTCCATTCTTCTCTTTTGACACGAGGTTGCAGAAAATTTCTGCATGTTGGATTGTTGGTTGGAACCGAAGAGAATATTCACTTAGATCCTTTGTTCACTATACATATGTAAGTGATAACTGTCACGTCCATAAATGGCTTGACACCATTTCCGTCATCCTTATGACGTAGAGAATTGGAAATCGCAGTGGCAAGAAAGGTTTGTGATATCAAGCCTTTATATCTTTGCTATTTAAAAAGAAGCTTTACCGGCTACACTGATATTAATGCGGTAGTTTGTGATAATACATCATATTAAATCTGAAGATACGGAAAGGTGTTTCACTAAATCCTTTGAGCAATAATCTATTTAAGCTCCGCGACGCTTTGAAAAAAATCTTATCCATATCTTATATTTCTTCAAAACAGCCGATTCTGACAATGCAAGATATTGAGGTTGAGGGTGTGACCGTCTTCGCTCCACCGCCGACAACATCATATCGCTATG